GGCGGGCGGCGGGCGCTGGGCGCTGGGCACTGGACATGACCCGCCAGGCCGACGGCGCGGGCGCTGACCCTGCTTCCGCCCGGCTGCCCTCCGGGATGGCCCAGCTGCTGTCGGCGCTCTTCTACGGGACCTGCTCCTTCCTCATCGTGCTGGTTAACAAGGCGCTGCTGACTACCTACGGGTGAGGAGGGCGCCAGGGTTTCGGGCGGGGTCCGCGGGGGGCGCCCGGCTGCTCGGCTGCGACCTGACCCGGCACCTTCCCGCTCCCGGCGCCGCGCTGGCCCGCGGGGGCTGGCTGGACTCGCGAGGCCCCCAGGGTCGGGGATGTGGGGAACGGCGGGGCTGCCCCTGCCCTCTGTGCACTCAGGCCGCGCCCGGGTCAGCGGGCAGCGGGGACCGAAGGCCGGGAGTCCCTGTGCCAACGAGCATGGCTACGTGCTCCGCACCTTGACCACGTTTTCGCGGGGCCCGGATCTTCGCTGCGTTGTAAAAACCCAACCACAACCTAACAAAGTCACTCTCCTCTGTGATACTTACTCCCCCAGGACACCGTGCAGCTGTAGTTGTGCTTCTGTAGCGCTACATCCGAACGCTTTCAAATGCACCAATGTGCTGAAACAAGTGAACATTTCTTTACACAAATCTAGACGTTCAACAGATGAGTCCTGAGCGATAAGTTCATTTATATTGAAGGACCATTCTCCCATTTCCAGCATGTTCATTGGAAACTGGGGAAAACAATGAGAAGCTCACATTATGTAGTTTTTTGGATGATTGTACAGTACACCAGCAAATTTGTGGTTCCTTGAACCTATTTGTAAGGACTAGAAAATCTCGTTTAATTCTGCTGTGTTAGTTAGCAGCATTGAAAGTGTTGTGGGCTTAGACCCAGCTCCACCAGTTAGTAGCTGTGCCTCTTGGGTCTGTCCTATAGTCAGCAGTTTTTTCAGATGCAAAAGTGGAATAATCACACCTGTGAATTACCTCCCAGAACCTTGCAGGAGCTGTCATAAGTGAGGGCTCTTGTAAACTATGCTGTGCTGCAAGACTGTAAAATCAGCATTTTACGAAGAGTGCAAAGAGACCTCAGTATCTTCAGCCTTCTTATTTTATACTTGAGAAAGCGGAGACCCACATGAGCTAGCTAGGCTGGTTACACTTGTGACATACTTACTGAGTACCTACTATGTGCCAAGCCTCTTCCAGGGAAGCAGCTCTGAACAACACAAAGCCCCTGCTCTGGAGACCCCATGTCAGTGGTGGAAGCAGAAAATAAGTGTGTTTATGAATGATCGAGGTGATTTCAGTTATGAATGAGAGTGCCTGGGGTGGAGTGATTGGCACTACAGCATTCCAGACAGAAGGGAATGTGCTGAAGGGGGCATGTGCTTGGCTTGTTGGAGGAACTGAGAGAAGGTCCCTGTGACTGGAACTGAGTGAGCAAGTGGGAGAAGGCGGGAGAGACAGGGAAGGCAGGATCCGGTCCTTCGGTCATTCAGTAATATTTATTAAGCACCTATTATGTGCCAGGCTTTGTTCTGGGCAGAAGTGAATAAAGCAGATCAAAATGCCAAGTGTCGTGGAGCATCCATCCATCCTGCTGGAGTTCACATAGAGCTTTCTAGTGGATTAAGAAATAAACCGGTAGAATTTTTATTATGGCAGATGTGGCTGTGTGGTCAAGAGAAAAAAAATAGGAAAGGGAGTGAGGTAGGGAGTATGGGCATAGGAAAGAATTCTGTCTCAGTGTGATCAGTGAAGTCTCACTGAGGAGGCGACATTTGAGCCAAGACATAAGTGAGGTGAGGGAGAGTGGAGACAAACATTCCAGGCATAGAAGAGTAAGGAGTTTGGGTGGGAAGGGTACTAGGTGGGTCCCCCGTAATGGACTGGTAGATTGTATAGCGCCTTTGTGGCCACTGTGGAAGTACCAAAGGATAGGGGAGCCCCTGGAAGGAGCAAAGGAGTCACACGATCTAAATCACCCTGGCTGCTGTGTTGAGAGCAGATTTGGGGGGGACCAGAATGGAAGCAGGGAGACCATCAAACCAAACAAATCGTTTTAATTTTAGTCTAAATGCAATTGGAAGTCCCTTAGAAGGTTTTAGCTTGGGAGTGACATGACATAATATGTGTGATTTAAAGGATTTCTTTGGCTGGTGGGTTAATGGTATCGGAAGCAGGGAGAGGAGCTAGGAAGCGATTGCAGTATTCCAGATAATTCTGAGAGCTAGCTTGGACTGGGGTGGGGAGGTAGCAGAGGATATGGAGGGAAGGGATAGATTTGGGATATTTTTTGGTGAGTCTATGGCTGTTGATATTGTTTACAAGGTCTTCACCAGTGTGTTGCAGCATGCTTGCTGGTGTCCAGGGGAAACGCAAACCCTGCCTTAAAAAGAAATTAGAATAACCGTATGCCTAAACCTGGATCATTAAACACATACAATGCAAGCTAATGAGAGAAAAAGAAAACTTGAACACTTAGGATAAAAAACAAGAGA